AAGTCTGGCTCTGTCATATCTGTCACCTTTAGGATGTGGAAGATGCAGTAAGGTCCTCACTTTTCAATTTCCCACTGACTTAATTTTGCATTTATTAAATCTCCTGTCTTTTCAATTCATCCATTTTCTTTTTGCATGTGTGGTTTCAGGCTGGCTAAGAGGGGAAGACACTGCTGATCACATTGACAGTGCAGCCAGACTTTGGTCTGAAGTGCTTCAGCAACTCCCATAAGGTCTTTATGGACTAGACTCGTCTGTGGGGGACTAGTGGAACTTCATACTTTGACTTTGAGGCAAAAAAACTGGGATTTCTTCATCTCTACTACTCTGTTCAGCCATGCAGACTGCTCAGAATGACTGCATGTAGATAGTGGTAGTGGACAAGACATCCCCAGGAGGGTGGTCTGCAGGGTCCCCACAGCCCCAGCCGCTGCTGCCAGGCCAGGCAGGGATGTAGCGGCTCATGCGACACCTTCCCTGTCATGGACACGATGCTGGGCTGGACGGGGCGATACGCCAAAGATCATGCAGTTCCTTTCTGTTTACATGGAAGCAAAACGAGTCTTGAAAGGAATGTGTTTATCCTCACATTCTTCACTTTGCATCTACTATCTGCCCGTGTCAGCCCTGTGTGACGTAGCAGAGCAAAATAAATTAACAGTTAAGTGAGGAAAACGTAACACAGAAGCCAAGGAAACCTGTGGTTATAGTATTGCATCTTCCCTGTGCCATGGGGAAGAGAAGAATCTGAACCTTGGGCACAAACTGCATCTGCCAAACTGCCTTCTCAGCACAAGGTGATGCCGGCGCCTGGCCACAGCCTCGGTAGGGTTTCTGCACAAAAAGCCACTTTCCTCCTGGTGTGAGTTGATGGAGGCAGAGCGGAGGGGACGGGGGGAGGCACCCAGCCCTGCAGCCGATGTCACTGCTCCAGCAATGCAGCACAGGCTGGGTGGGGAAAGGAGAGCCAGGCTCAAGCTCGCTGCTTGTAGGTTTTCGGTGGGGTCCCTCAGCAACTGTGGATGCCAAGAATGCTGCCAATGCTGGCAGAGCGGCCCCTTGCTCATTAAGTAGGTATAAACTACAGCCAACTCTGCCATCTCATTCCAGCTCTGATCTACCCGGAGTCTTATGCCTTCCACCTCATCAACTGATCGGATTAATTGCCGTGCAGCTGGGATGAGAGGCGGGGGGAACTGGGAGCAGATGAAAGCTTTTATGCTGCTTCCGTTCACCCTCAGATCATTACCCGTTACATTGCCGAGTGTTCCCAGGCTTACCACATCTCCCATGTTACTTTGTCATCTGCTAGCATGGCCATGGGTGGCTAACATCCTTGCCACAAGTAAGAGTATCAAAATCTCACAAGAAGCCCTGCCAGAAGCCCTAATTTTTAAGCTAGCTGTTGCAGCCTGATCTAAATGTGTTGGGAGGAAAATGACAGTTTTACTCCTGTGACAACTAAACAGTCATTCATACCCAGTGCATCAAGGCTGAGATACCCCTGTTGCTTTCAGGGGAAAATCTGTTTTAAACTCCTCTCTTGGACAGTATTCTTGCAGAAGAAAAAAAAGGCCTTGAGACTAAACTTGATCCTCACAGGCTGCATATTTCAGTACTGGAAGGCTGTGACTCAGTGGCCTCTGGAAGCTCTCCAAGCTATCAGTAGCTCAAAGGAGGAATTAAAAACTCAACAAACTGCCTGTTCTCCTGAAGCTTGTTTTGTACATGCTATGGAAGAGATGAGAGATTTGAAAGAAGGTGGCCCTGTCCAAGAACCATTGGCTATAACAAGTCACAGCAAGCAATGATTAATTATTTTATTAAGATGCTTAGACGTTGTTTAATGAGCCTTTTTGCCAAGTTTATGTGGAAGAATTTGTCAAAATAGCATGTACACTATAATAAATCCCAAGGTACCTAATAGGCTTTCCCACTTGGTCTTCTGTCCCTGACAATCTTTATGTAGACATGTCAGAATACCTTTTTCTTCTCCAAAATGAGAAATAGAGTGAGTAGCATTTCTCTCGTTTTTCCAGGCAGTTGGAAAAGCTGATATGAACAGAGATATGTCCTGTGCTAGCCTTTGAAACCAGGCTTGGGGGTGGCAGGAGGAATCTCAGGAAGATGAGTCTGAAGCTGGATGTTGGACTCAGGCACTCAGTTCATCAGAGCTCAAGGAAGAAGACAGCCCCTTTGGATGAGCCTCTGCTTCTAGACAAGAGTGGTCCTTTTTTCACTCTACAGTCTCAGTCCCTAGATCTGCCTTGCCCTCACCCCAAATCTGTGTTAGGTGGATATCTTGATCCTCTCCATCCCCAATGGTTAAGGCTTACTTTCAAGCTTAAAACACAAGAGAGCAAAATCAGCACCTCAAATTAAAATAGGAACCGAACTCAAAGTTTCCGGACACTTCAGGAAATCACCCAGGAGAGGAGCTGTAGTACTTGCTGAAAGCAGAACTTGTGAGCCCAACCCGGGGAGTGAAGTGAGTGGTCTTCTGGTCTTGGGAATGCCTCACTTAGAAAAGGAGAACTTTAAGAAAAGGCAGCACCATGGCTCGATGCTTTCAGATGTGGCCTGTCAGTGTGCATTCCTTATCACAAGGAAACATCTTCCTACGCTTTTTGCCACATTTTCCTAGTTCTCAAGAGCAAGGGTTGACTGAGCTCGCTCACCAAAGAAAGAGACTCAGTGAAAAGATCCTTCCAGCTGAAGTTAAAGCCATTGCTTTCATGCTTGCTGTGGGTGTTAGGAATTTGTACTGCTGCACCTCAGTATCATATTCTGAAGTGTTCAACCCAGGACAGAAAGCTTATCAGAGAAAGATATTTTGATTGTCTTTGGAAAGCTGGAATTTGTCATCTCCTCAAGGGGATCTCCAACTGGAGGAGCTGAAGCTGGAGATCTCTTCACTGACAGAGCAGAGAGAAAGATTTCTGTCAAGCTTGGTATCTAACAGCCAGAATTGGTCATAAAGTGTTCAACTACCTCTTTCTTGGTGGATTCTTTGGTTGTAAAATGCTCATTTGCTGAAACGAAAATATTTTTCTAGGAATGTGCTAATTCATTCAAGAGTTTAGCCAAAAAAGGCTTTCTTCTTCCAAAAGAGGGAATTTCTAGTTAATGGAGCAAGAGGGAATAGCTTAATTTAATGACCAGCTTGGTGAGTTTGAGCTCTCAGCTGAAATATAGCAGAACCCAGGTTGTGTCCTTGCTCCTTGCATTCTGCTCATTCAAAGCAGGATGGCCCCAGCAGGATCCACTCACACAATGGTCTTCTGGGTCCTCATTGTGCCTTGGCACAGGCCAGTCATTGAGCCTGAAAATCCTTTGTTCTAGGCAAATTCTCTGGCTGCTGGTTGTTGGTCTGTCCAGACCAAGTCTGTAAGGTGACGAGCCAACATGCTGGCAGGGACAGAAGTCCATTGCTGTAGAGAACCTACAACCAGCCCCAGCTGTAACAAAGCTTGGCCATTTCCAAGTATGTTAGGATGAACATCAGCACTTGAGTTGCCTTCAGTTCTTCCCCTAGCACTGCAGCCTAGTTGATTTTTAAGGGGCAAACTCTTTTTTTGAGTTTTGCTCACTTGCACACATTTGCGTGAGGACAGAAGTTGTATTGAAGGTTCACACTCCCCAAAAAATGTGTGCAGACAGCTGCACGTTGATTTCCTGGGAAATTTGAGTTCACTTGTGCAGGCCAAAAGGAAGCGCTGATTTCTCAAGCTAACCTGCCCTGGCTTCTGTTGCCCTTCTGTCCCTACATAAATACAAAGTATTGATTTATTCTAGCTTTTCAACTATGTAAATACTTTTCATGGCCAACATGCAACCAATTATAGAGGGAGCAGATGTTTTTCACAGTAATGCAACGAACACTCTTCTTTTTGTGTCCTTTGCCCTGAAGAGAATTTTTATCTCTGATGATTTCATGTTCAAGTCTTTCATATTTCTGTGTTGCAGAGATTGTCCCCTTAAGGGAACATGCATTTGAAACGTGCAGGGGAGGAAGAATATACATTAGTCTGATATAGGTGGATAAACAAATTGGCTGTGGTGACCTGGCTGCCCACACTCCTTGGCCATTCAGACCGAGGAGGTGGCTTGCTAGCAGAGCCATGCAGTCCTTGGTGCGGTGGCTTGTGTGCACCAGGCTTGCGGTGGCTGCGACTGCAGTTTGTTTGGTTTACATCTAGCATGTGCTCAGAAGGACTTCATGTGCCTTCAGCTATAAGCAGAGCACTGGACCCCTGGGGATCAATCCCTGTGAGTAGTGACAGAGCCATTCCATTGCCAAGAATAATCTTCCATCTGAAAGAAAGGTGCAGCATCCAATACCTTAGTCTCACCACGTGGCTGGGTGAGCTTCAGCCTGTGGTAAAGGGTTTCCCCTTCACTGTTGCCAGTGATAACAGGAGTCCCAGCTGCAAGTGTAGCCCTTTGTGAATCCTCACCTCCACAACCACCACCAAAGCAAGACCTTGCAGGTCGGCAGCTGCAACTGCATGCCTCCAAGTGACTGGCAGTTGTAGCAGCACTGATTATTACTATTTGTAGACCTGGCTGGAAAAAGCACTTTTACATGTTTCTTCCTGTTGTTCTCTTTTGCCAGTTTACCACATTTGCCAGGGGCTTGTTTGTCAAAGTGTCTGGGATGAAAAAGGGGAAGAGTTTGCTTCCAGTATATTCCCTGCTCCTTCTAGCTGCTAGAGGGGTGTGAGAATGCCTTGAGGTTCCTCTTGGAGATGTATGTGGAGCTATGGTTATTGCAGGTTATTGCATCACAAATTTTGCAAAAAGCCTGGATTTCTTCACTGTACTCCTTGTGAACAAATTGTGTTGTTACTCCTTGTGTTTTTTCCAGCTGGAAGAACAGGATGGTGCCACAGATATTTTCATTCTTATTGACTCCTAGGCTAGAGGCACAAATGTCAGCATGCGAGGAAGGCAAGTATTAAAGAGTAGTCTTTCAAAAGTATCTCTGTTCTTTATTTCAGAGTCTCCTGAAATTGGACCCTCAGTTGTAGTTCACACAACTGTGACGTTTGGAAGCAAGTACCTGGATTCAGACCCTGGGGAGGTGCAGCAGTTAATTCTCAGTCACCTGGAGAGGATTGTGCCATCCCTGCCTAAACCTGCCAGCATCAAGTGTCAGAAATGGAGATACTCTCAGGTAGGTAGTCTGTGGTGGGATCAGTCAGATGGGAGGATGCTGCTGGGGCAATGGGGTGTTGGTGGCCTGTGGGCTGAACAGGAGCCAGCAGTGTGCCCAGGTGGCCAAGAAGGCCAACAGCATCCTGGCCTGGATCAGGAACAGTGTGGGGAGTAAGACTTGGGAGGTGATCGTCCCCCTGTATTGGGCACTGGTGAGGCCTCACCTCGAGTACTGTGTCCAGTTTTGGGCCCCTTCCCACAAAAAAAGACATTGAGGGGCTGGAGCGGGTCCAGAGAAGGGCAACGGAGCTGGTGAGGGGTCTGGAGAACAAGTCTCCTGAGGAGAGGCTGAGGGAGCTGGGGGTGTTGAGCCTGGAGAAGAGGAGGCTGAGGGGAGACCTTCTCGCTCTCTCCAACTCCCTGAAAGGAGGGTGTAGCCAGGGGGGGTCGGTCTCTTCTCCCACGTTCCAGGCAATGGGACAAGAGTTAACGGCCTCAAGTAGCGCCAGGGTAGGGTCAGATTGGATAGCAGGGAAAGGTTCTTCACGGAAAGCATTATTAAGCCTTGGAATGGGCTGCCCGGGGAAGGGGTTGAGGCCCCATCCCTGGAGGCTTTCGAATAGACGGGTTGACATAGTCCTTAGAGACGTGATTTAGTGATGGGGAGGGGTGGTGGTTTTATTTTGGTTTTTTTATCAGAGTTAGGCTGACGGTTGGACTAGATGATAGAATGTCCCTTCCAACCTAGACAATTCTATGATTCTACAGACTTGCGGTCTATCACAAGAAGCAGGACATCATACAGCCTAGTGTTTTTCATCCTCAGGCAGCAAAAGGAAAGGGGGTAGTTGCTCGATATCCATAATACATTCATCCACGTAGCCATGAGCAACATCCAAGGCTGGCCAATGACAGCCAGATCATTTCTAGTCATCTTTTTACATAGTGGACCTGGCTCAGCAGTAAGTTATGCAGCGCTCTTGGTAAGCAGGGACAGGAGTAATGCACAGGAAGGAAGTAAACCCCACATACTTCGGTGGGATTATCGCTGGTATTTAAAGATATGACCCAATCTGTCTCTCTGTCTCTTCTGTATCCAAAAGTCTGTGAAATTATTAGCAAAATTCCCACCCTACCACAGAGTAGCATAAGTCCTTGTGCTCAGACATACTAATTGCTTTTATTTGATTTGGCCTGGTTCTATTTAACGGTATGCTATGTGAAAAGTACTTTGAAATAAACTGCCTAAGGGTAATAATAATAAAATGTGTATATTTTACAGACTTCTTTTAAAAATCCAAGGAAATTGTTGGCAATTTCCTAAAGTACTGGAGTGTATCAAGCTCTCCCTGGGGGCGGACAAAGAGAGAGCTGAAAGCTTGTGGGTGAGGATTAAGGAGCAGGCCAATATGAGGGACGCTGTTGTGGGTGTTTATTACAGTCCACCTGATGAGGATGGGGAAACTGATGAGGCCTTCTACAGACAGCTGAAAGCAGCCTCACGATCACATGCCTTGGTTCTCCGGGGGGGGGGGTCTTCAGTCACCCTGATATCTGCTGGGAAGGCTACACAGCCCAGCAGGTACAGCCCAGGAGGTTCCTCCAGTGTATTGATGATAACTCTTTGACTCAGGTGGTGGAGGAGCCAACAAGGAGAGGTGTGCTACTGGTCCTAGTTCTGACAAACAAAGAGGGACTGGTGGAGGACATTAAGATTGGGGGCAGTCTTGGCTCTAGTGATCATGAAAAGATAGGAATTCAGGATTGTGGGTAGTATGTGCAAAACAAGAAGTAGTATTGAAACCTTGGATTTCAGGAGGGCTAACTTCGACCCCTTCAAGAAGCTGCTTGGAGAAATCCCATGGGTTAGGGCTCTGGAAGGTAGGGGGCCTCAAGAGAGCTGGTTGATATTCAAATAGCACTTTCTCCAAGCTCAGGATCGGTGCATCCCTAAGAGCAGGAAATCAGGCAAGAGAAGCAGGAGACCTGTGTGGTTGAGCAGGGGGCTCCTGAAAAAGCTCAAGTGGAAGAAAGGACTGGAAGTCCATGGAAGAAGTGCATGGAAGAAAGGAGTGACCACCTGGGAAGAGTACAAGAATGCTGTTAGAGTATGCAGGGATGGAACAAGGAAAGCCAAGGCTTCCTTGGAGTTAAACCAAGGAGAGGTGTGCTACTGGTCCTAGTTCTGACAAACAAAGAGGGACTGGTGGAGGACATTAAGATTGGGGGCAGTCTTGGCTCTAGTGATCATGAAAAGATAGGAATTCAGGATTGTGGGTAGTATGTGCAAAACAAGAAGTAGTATTGAAACCTTGGATTTCAGGAGGGCTAACTTCGACCCCTTCAAGAAGCTGCTTGGAGAAATCCTATGGGTTAGGGCTCTGGAAGGTAGGGGGCCTCAAGAGAGCTGGTTGATATTCAAATAGCACTTTCTCCAAGCTCAGGATCGGTGCATCCCTAAGAGCAGGAAATCAGGCAAGAGAAGCAGGAGACCTGTGTGGTTGAGCAGGGGGCTCCTGAAAAAGCTCAAGTGGAAGAAAGGACTGGAAGTCCATGGAAGAAGTGCATGGAAGAAAGGAGTGACCACCTGGGAAGAGTACAAGAATGCTGTTAGAGTATGCAGGGATGGAACAAGGAAAGCCAAGGCTTCCTTGGAGTTAAACCTGGCAAGGCATGTCAAGGTCAACAGGAAGGGTTTCTTCAAGTATACTGGAGGCAAGAGGAAAACTGGAGAAAATGTGGGCCCGCTGTTGAATGAGACAGGTGCCATGGTGACAGAGGATGGAGAGAAGGTGGAGCTGCTGAATGTCTTTTTTGCTTCAGTCTTTACTGCTCAGGCCAGCCCTTAGGAGTCCCAGACTTTGGAGGAAACAAAGTCTGGATAAAGGAAGACTTCCCCTTGGTTGAGGAGGCTCAAGTTAGAGAATGGTTAAATAAACTGGATATCTGCAAGTCCATGGGTCCTGGTGGGATGCACCTGCAAGTGCTGAGGGAGCTGGCAGAAGTCATTGCTGGGCCACTCTCCATCATCTTTGCAAGGTCCAGGAGAACAGGCGAGGTGCGTGAGGACTGGAGGAAAGCCAATGTCACTCCAGTCTCCAAAAAGGGCCAGAAGGAGGACCCAGGAAACTACAGGCCAGTCAACCTCACCTCCACCCCTGGAAAGGTGATGGAACAGCTCTTTCTGGGGTCCTGGGCTGCATCAAGAGGAGTGTGGCCAGCAGGTCAAGGGAGGTCATCCTCCCCCTTTGCTCTGCCCTGGGGAGGCCCCATCTGGAGCACTGTGTCCAATTCTGAACTCCCCAGTTCCAGAAGGACAGGGAACTGCTGCAGAGGGTACAGCAGAGGGCTACAAAGATGGTCAGGGGACTAGAACATCTCTCTTACGAGGAAAGGCTGAGGGACTTGGGTCTTAGTCTGGAGAAGAGAAGACTGAGGGGGGTTCTGATAAATGCTTATAAATACTTAAAGGGAAGGTGTTAAGAGGATGGGGCCAGTCTTTTTTCAGTGGTGCCCAGTGGCAGGACAAGAGGAAATGGGCACAAACTTCAACATAAGAAGTTCCATCTAAACATGAGGAGGAATTTCTTTCCTGTGAGGGTGGCAGAGCCCTGGAAGAGGCTGCCCAGGGAAGTGGTGGAGTCTCCTTCTCTGGAGACATTCAGAACCTGCCTGGACACGTTCCTGTGGGACCTGCTCTGGGTGACCTGTTTTGGCCGGGGGTTGGACTAGATGATCTCCAGAGGTCCCTTCTAACTCCATATCATTCTGTGATTCTGTATCTACATGTTTACCCAAAGCCTCTTAAGTTAAATTTCATTGGTGAAATTGAATGTGGAAGTTTATGCACAGTATTTACTTAAATCAGTTACCTAATTTTTTTTCCTTTTATGAAGTCTGGAAATGGTATTGTAGATGACTGCTGTGCAGTCTGCTCATACCCCTTGTTCTGCATCCCATTTAGGAACCTGCTTTCATTAGCACAGAGTTTATTTTTCTGCAAGTTAGGTATTAGTTGTTTTCAAATCGCTTCCCAGTGCATAGTGTTTGTTCTCAGTTGTTGCATACAAGTGACCCTAACATAGGTTGTAATGTTTCAGATGACTCATATGAAAATCATGGTATGTTTTATATGTTCTTCTTTGTCAGTTCAGGGTTTTTTTTGCTAGTAACACTGTCTCTGTACAGCTGTCAGTGTTAAGACATCCTTTTCTGGTTGTGACTTTTGGTCTTTTAGTAACATAGTTTAGTGATGGTTTTTTTCAGAGTTAGGTTGATGGTTGGACTAGATGATCTTAAACGTCCCTTCCAGCCTAGACAATTCTATGGTTCTATGATTCTACATTGTCTGTTACCTTTCTGCTTCAGACTGCTTGCAAGCACAAGAGCTGCAGGTAGTAGGGAGGAGAGGAATTGTATCTATCTCAACAGACAGACCCTTGGTTGGCCAGCTCTGGAAAGGGCTCCCACAGCAAAGAAAGAAGTATTTTTAAATGGAATTAATAAACCCTAGACACTGCTGCTATCACAGAGCCCTATCATAAAATTTGTCAAATTCAGCTACTTTTTTTTATGTGTGCAAGGAAATGGCTTAATATGCCTTTTCCTTGCACTACTTACACCTTTAGCATTGTGTCAAAGGTAACATTTAAGCATTATGAATCTCATTTATTTCACCAAGAAAACATGGGTAAAGGAAAAGACAGGAACAACAGTTAATTTCTTAGAACTGAATTTAAAAAAAAAAAAAAGTCTCAATTGCATTCTACCAAACAACTGTGTGTTTTGAATCCTGGCAAAATTATGGCCATACAGGATTTTTTACAACCTTGTACCTATTGCTTCGTCTTTTAGCGGTAGCTGGAACAGTGACTGTAAGTTACTGTAGGAATGAACTCTTATTTTCCACAATTGCTTCAAAATTGTTGTCGACCTAAATCACTAGGTGTGAGTCCTGTTTCCCCTATTTAAAAATTACATTCAGAAATCATACTGCTGGATGATAGTCTATTATTTTATCAAACCACAGTTCACAGCTCTTCCTGCTTTCTTCTCCCACCTCTGTTGCCTGCCATCAACCATGCTGCTACTAACCAAAACTAGCGACATCAGCAGCTGCTTGTGCTTTATGGCTGTGTCACAGGAGGAATTATCACCAGTCTTTAATTTGGTGGATGAATGTCAATATGTCTTAGATAGCAAATAAATCAGCGTAGGTCAGATCCGTTATCTCAATAAAGAGATCTCTACTGCCACCCTATAAAATAATCACTACCTAAATTAAATATCTGGGACAGAGCTCCCTCTTTCTCTTAAACCTATCTTTACTTTCAATTATAACAAGCTGTTGCCACAGAATGAACTAAGATGGGTGTATCTTTCCCCTGACTCTTTTAGATGGGATTTATCCTACTTGTTAATTAAATCCGGCTGTAACGTCCTTCACATGGCCAAACACAATCCTGGGATTAAAATGCAGACATTACAATTATCCATGGCGGACAAGGGATTAGGGCTTCCAGACTTCTACTGACACTACTTAGCAGCGCAGCTGCAATTCTGGATCCTCTGTACGTGTGTATCTTATCTGTGTGTACGATAAGACACCATTAGCATTCAGAGCCAACAGCTTCCCAACCCGTCACGTCTCTCTCACAGAGTCACTTCGTATGTATAAGGGATACTGGGAAAAGACAGAGTCATAGAAATTGGACCTCTTCAGAGGGGACCTCAGAAGGGACCTCTTGAGGTCCTGTTGCTCAAAGCAGAACTATTCCTAGCATTAGCTGACCTTGACCATGGCTTTGTCTAGCTGAGTCTTGAAGTCTTTAAGGATGGAGACCCAGCGTGCTGTGCCATATAGCCCAGGGTAATTCGGAATTTATGTTAGACAACACTTCGGAAGAACTTGAAGAAGGGGCAGGACCATTCCTTTCCTTAGTAACTATGTCTAGCATGAGGGCCTTTACTACATTGAGCACACAATCTTGCCACACAGGTGAAAAGCTGCAGTCTGAGATGTGAAAATATTGATCTTGTGATCAGTATGACAAACCAGAAGCTATTTGGTACAACCAGCATCAAATAAGCACTGGGTAGTCAAGAAGGAGGGACACTCAAAAAGCCTTTTTCTGGTAAACCTTTCTTCATTGTTTTATGCTCAGTGGCCTTGATCTGTAAGAAAAAAATAGGAATAAATTGAGTGGTGACCTAAAATTAGTCCGAGAAAGATGATCTCAGGCTGGATGTGGACCATCTCATGGCTAGACTCTTCTCTTAAGTTGAATAGTGGATAATGGGTGGCAACTGGCTACAGATTAATTTCAGGTAATTACCTCCTTTAAAGAGATGCTAACATGCCAGTTACATAAACGTGGGTGTTTTGCAGCTGATCTGTACTTGGAAATGGCAGATAATGGCCCAGCAGTGGTCAGCTGAGTGTATATTTGAGTCTATGGAAAAATCCCCTGGACTGAACAAGGTGCCTTGGACTTTAGGTCTCATTCTCCGAAGCTGACAGCCACATGGTGGGATACAGGGACAGTTTACTGCACAGGAATCCAAAACGTATCTTTGGACCAAAGGCAGAAAGCCAAGAAATGATCAAAAGAAAATTGTACTCTCTGTATCATGCTTTATGATCTCTGTGGTTTGATCTCTATTGCTGCTCTACTGCCCTGCTTCTGGTTTTGTTGTTTTTTTCTCTTGGGTTTTCTAGATATTTTTTCCTCTTTTTCAACATTTAATCCTTATGGATGTTGTTTTATCATTCCTTTTCTCAGACTATTTCTTCCCACCTTCCTCCTCCAATCACTTCATCATCAAACTGTCCTGCATCTTCTTATCTTTTTCATGCCTTCTGCCTGAGCCTGCCTTGCCCTCACGTTTGCCTTTAGGCCAGTGCTGCTGCTACCGCCTTACCTCCATGCTGACACTCACTGGTGCTGCTCTGGGGTGCACTGATTTCACACAACATGGACACTCAGCCTCTTTACATAGGTTTGAAATGGGCTAGAACAACATGTGACACAGTGAAGCGTGGTAAAAACACAAATGCTGTGTGCTTTTACTCTGCTGTTTGACACACGTTGGTGTTTTCAAACGTACAATAACGAAAAGGGGTCTTGTTCTCCCCATGAGTTCCAGGTAGCTTCAGGTTACTGGCCAAAGCAAAGCTCTTTCACTCTTAGAAATGTTACACAGAACTGCTCAAGAGCTGCCACTCCACAGATGCAAGTTTAATTGAGGGTATACTGCCAGGAAAATTATATTTCAAATTAATACAATGCATACATTGAGAATGACATTAAATATTTATCAAAGCAACATTATTCAGAACTTGTCCCATGGTACTTACGGAGCAAGTGTTGATTGTATCTCTAGCATCTGCCTAAAAATTGTTGTGCTACTCAGATGAAAAAGGAGACCAGCGTAGCAGAACTGGAGACAGGGTGGCTTGTCCAAAGGCTGCATGAAGCATGGGCAAGTCATCATGACAGTAGTTACTCTGAAGTCTCCCTCACTTCCCATCCAGGAAGGTCACCTGGTCAACCCCGAGTCCTGTTGCAAGGTCTTGGGAACAGCAGGCTCCCTTTCCTTTGTTGAGCAGTTGCATATCTGGGCTTTTTTGCGAGCCCGCCTTTGTGTTCATACCTTTTGGCTTAGAGATGCCTCATCTATCCCGGGTCGGGCAATTCATTCTGCTGAGGCAGACTGAGAATAAGACAGGATGGTGGTGTAAAATTTCAAAATTTCCACATACAGGAAATCTTTATTCTATTTATTTTACTCCAGAAAATCTTTGGTTATTAGTGCTTGGGCCTACAACCTGGGATGGGAGGGGGCCTTTGTATGAAAGCAAGTTTGTCAGGAATGCAGACCTTTCTGGCATGAAATTGAGGTAAATAAAACGTGGTTTTTTTCCATCTACCTGTATGCTTTTCTTTTTCAGGTTACAAAAGCTGTGTCCAATTGTCCAGAACACATGATTCTTCATACTCAACCTCTCCTGATTTGTGGGGGCGATGGATTTACTCATTCCAATTTTGATGGCTGCATAGATTCTGCTATGAGTCTTGCAGAGGCTGTGAAGTCTCATTTATAGCAATTTCAAAGTCAGCTGCTAAACACAGTTAAGAGTTTTGATGAATTTTACTATGATGGATTGAATTCTAGTTTAGTGTTAACATCACTGTCCTCTATCTTGCAAAAATAAAGAAAGGAACATCTATTGATGTGCTGTAGGAATTATTGGGAGGGCATTGAATTGAATTTTCCAGGATCTGTGCTGTGAGTGGTTACTTTGCTTGAAGTAAAGCTTTTTCTGGCTCTAGTTAGAGGCACTGAGTTCCAGCAGTCTTGCTAGGTCTCCTGATACTTTTGCAGCCCATGAAAATTATGTCAAGGAGAGGAGCCTAACTTGAAGCAGCACAAAACCCCATGGAGCTGCAGAGTTTACTCCTTCTCTGAGCATTTGGAGCTCTGGAAGTCTCAGAAGTAACATGCACAATTGATTCCAGAGCTTTCATGTATACATGTGGTCATTTCTTCTGGTGCAGATCAGCCCTGGTCATGGTGGTTGTGTTGGCCATGGGTAATCAGTGATGGGGCATACCTTGCTGTGCTTCTCAAGTTGGACAGCCTATGCAAGGTCTAACCATGTCTCCAGGCCTGGACAACTTTTAAGTGAGGGATAGTAGTTGTCTGCTGATCAGCTTTCATAGCCTACAGTTTTCTGGACCCCTAGTTGCACGATACTGGAAGAGCTCATTTAAGAGCTTGATATTACTGGCAATAATGTGCCACTGAAAGATAGTACCTGTCCTGGGTGTGGTTTAAGGAGCATCAGCCCAGCTGTACTCATAAAAGAAAGAATGGATAGGTGGTGTGAGACAAGGTGTGCATGTTTCCAGCGCTCTCATAGCAATAGGGCTGCTATCGCAGAGGTGTCTTGGGAATAGGCGTTGATATCTGGGCTGTAACACGAGTTTAACACAGTAAAACAAACTGGCAGGGCATGTGGATGCACCTAAAATAGCTCAATATTTACCAGGTTAGAGAGTTGCCAGTGTATTATGGCTCTCTGCTGGTCCAGGGTCTCCTGAAGAAGGAGCAGCCCTTTCCTCCTTCCAGATGGTGGAGGAATCGGGGTAGGAGCAGCCAATACAGAAGGTGGTTTGGCTGCTTTGCCTAGCAAATGCCAAGATGAAGGAGGAAAAAGAATTTATCTAAGCATGGTCCATGGCAGTGTGTTAATAAGAAAACTGTGCTCACATTTCAGGCTTAGGGTTACATCACCACCACCATAAATACTCATTTAAAGTAAACAGCCAGTCTGAAAGTAAGGTGAGTTCTAGACAGCTGTATATTTTGGCAGAACAGGTGCAGAAATAGAGGGACAGGCCCAGGGAAGGGTATAAATACATGTGTGAGTGAATGGACAAGGAATTTGATTTGTAATACTAAAAAAAAATAAACAGCAAGTATAATTGTGTTGAAAATACTATCTGTCACAGCTTCAAGTACTTCTAAGGTACTACACTGTATTTCTGTGTAGTCAAGTTTGAGATTGCTCAGAAATTAACAAGAAATCATTAATTTATTCTAAATTTGACTTTAGCTTGCCCTTCCTCTTAAATCATGTCACAAGTTTAGTACCTCTCTCTACTACAGCGCTAAAAATAACAAAATGCTGTTTCCAGCAGACAGAATTTTAGCCGTTAGAGAAGTACAATTCAGCCTCTTCTACCTCTGCATTTCACAAAAATCCGACATGCTGTGTTCTGTATAACTGAACGCTGTAATTTAGTACTGCGTTTGACCATTTCTAATGCAGTATTGTAAGTGACACCAAGAACTTTAAAACTTAAGTTAATTTTAAAAAGATATTTGAAGGATATTTCAGGATACCATGCGCTTTTATTGATTTTTTTTTCTTTCCATGAAGTCTTTGAGTTTAAAACTAGGTGGTGTTACTGTGTTTGAACCCCCCAGCTCCCAACCCTCAAGTTTTAATAACTTCATCTTGTGCAGAAACGGGGAAGACTGGTAGTCATGTACATGCTCAAATCCTTCAAATAGGCATGTCATCTCCTGTTTTCCATGGATAGCCACAAAGAGCCACACAGTCATAGAATAAATCTAATCTGGTGAGGCATTCAATAGTGGCTTGATTTAGCATGAGCTCAAGAGCAACCAAAGTGCCAGCTGAAAGAAGGTTTTATGTTGCAGTGTTGGAAAAACTTTATCAAAGTCCTGCTGGGTTATTGGTTCCCCTGGAAGACGTCGCCGTGGCAGGCAGATCAACAGTTGCTGCACCCATGGTGATGGTTTCTGAGGACCCATCCCACCTGTCTGCCTTCATCCAAGCTCTGCCTTAGTGCACAGAGAAGGATGTGGGTCCTTTTCTTGAAGGGGTGAAGGATCAGGCTGTAACTATAAGGCGTCTTTCCAGATTCTTTGGTTGTGCTGTTTTCCTCATCTTCACTCTTTGTGCTCTGCTCCTTTCTTCAAAGATGGATTTTGCATTAAAACATGCTAAGATTTGCACTTCCTGTTCCTTCAATTTTGAATGGAAGCAAGCCAAACCACTAAACATCCAAATAAAGATAAATCCTGAAAGCGTGTGACATGCAGAAAACTGAAAATGGGGCACCTTTGACATAATGCTCTGTTGCTCCTCTCGCTGCCTCGCAAACAGGCGTGCTCCACAGAGTCATGATGCTCTCTCAGGAAACTTATATCAGCAGCAGCCTTCATGCCACAAGTGACAGATAAGTGGAGATGTCTCTGAGCCCATCCTTTCAGCAATCTTCCAGCTTTGGTCATTATGAGACCTCAAAATACTATAAGATAATAAGCAAATCACAGATTCAGAGATTTTTCCAATTGTGAGATTTTTGATGTAGAGGTTTTCAAGCATGAATCACAGTGAGTCTCAAATTGCTCCCATCCCCATATCGCAGAATCATAAAATGGTTTGTGTTGGAAGGGACCTTCGAGATCATTGAGCTCCAACCCCCCCTGCCCTGGGCAGGGACACCTCCCACCAGACCAGGTTGCTCAAAGCCCCATCCAGCCTGGTCTTGAACCCCTCCAGGGATGGGGCATCTACATATCATGACAGTCTATCGAAACGCCTCTTTCCTATAGCTTCCTCCCAGATTAAGACAATTTCAACCAAAAAGACTTGGGTTTTTAAGGTGGAGTAGAAAAGTTCGTGCTCCTCTGGACGTGCTCCAGACAGCGGGCACTTAAGGGTCTCTGTGGCAATATCTCATTTTCTAGATGTGAGCAGGGAGACGATGATATTAACTTTCCTGTGCAAGGTGGGTGATGAGTGCCAGTATTTCAAAGAGGCCACTGTATCCAAAAAGATGACAGCAGAAGAGACTTGTTTGGTTGATTTCCTGGGCTTTTCCCTGGGTGGACATAATTTTTGATTAACTGGCGGATCCATCAATTACAACCCCTGTCTCCTTGTGCCGAGACAAGGGTGACAGCTGTGTCTGATCTCCTCTATGTCACAAGCCACAGCTAGTGCCCAAAGTTGAATTAAAGCATTTCAGCCCTCAGACATTGATGTTATTGTCTTCTTCATCACAAGGAAAGATGGAGCCATAAATGCTCAAAGTCTTTTAACCTACAGTTGTGGTAACTTCCACCCAGTGAACATCACTCTGCACACCTGGCCCATGGCATCTAGTGCAGTCATGGCTTTTACGATATATTCAGCTGTGTGAGATGCATTTTGCTGATCTCTTGGCATTTAACTATACTTTTAAGTCTCTTAACAGCAATCCCACCAACAACCAGCACCAGCTGTGTGTTTCACCAGGAAAGCTTTTATATTTTTGGCCAAATAGCAAGCTAGATGTTGGCAGAAAGGCTCAGTAGACACAAATACGCTTTGACATCTCCTGCTAACAGATGTGTTGTGAGACCTGTCGCTCAGCCAGGTATGACCCACCCAACCTTTGTCTCGGTAGCACCATGCAAGGCAATTTTCACATCACAGCTGTCATGTGGTCCTCAGGCAAAGGCATTTTTAAAAGACAAGCTTCTTGTACTGAACCACCAGACCCTGTGCTCTGCCACCCCTTTCCCTCACAGCCCTTGGTGATCTTTGCAGCCATTTCTTCCTTCTTCTAGGAGATGTCTGAACTGAGCACCATGTGCATCCATGTGCTGCTCTTGCAGAGATGTTTATGGACACAATACCAGCTGAAATCTTGGGCATGGGACAGGAGACGTTTGGTGCTTTTCCACAGGCAGGACGTGTGGCATAGTGTCCATGCTCTTGCCACCGTATCACACGTACTAGGGCAGACCCGTCATATTCCATGCCATGACAAATTTTGGAGGAGGCCCTGGCTGAGATGGACTTGAAGTCATGGCACATCCTCTCCTCCTGAGGGCCATCCCTTTGGCATGGGGTCAGGGCCCTGTGGTGGTGATCTGACCCTGACTACTCTATCCAGTCCCGATATCTGACCCTGCTTGCAGATCACCGAAATGGAGTAAAAGTGCTGTGAAGTGGATAAAAGCCTTTTAGAAACCCAAGTGCGAGAAGCAAAGCCACAGGTCTCTGCTGGGACCCCCTCAGAGCCACAAAGCCTGACTCCAGAAAGTGCTATTAATGACATGCTTAATAAAGAGCTCTCATTATCCCCAGTCTTACATCTGCAGCCCCAGCAAGGACACATCTGCTTGTCTTGTGTCCCAGGGGCTTCAGAGACTGCTCCCTTCCCAAGGCAAGGAATATGTTGGGAGCAGATGCTCATCACATGAGTTGTGGTGCCTTGTGGGAAAACGTTCAGCCGTGGGCTAAACTATCTCTAAGTGAGCTCCAGGGTGAGAAGCTGTGGCTGTGCACGGTAGCCCAAGCCTATATGCACCTCCCCAGCTGAAGGCCAGGACTCTGCTGTGTCCGGTGGACATGTCCCCATGTCATGCTTGCTGCAGGGGAGCAACCCCTTTCCAACCTCTCCATCCACAGCAGGGCTGCATGTGCCCCTGTGCCAGACTGCAGAGAGGATGTCTTGTTATGACCCTGCCTGCACAGGGCATATTGTGGCTGGTGGTTGGAATAACTCTGCCAAATCTATGAAGTCATGTGTGTGTACGTACGCCTCTTGGTGCGTGTAGGGCAGTTTGTAGGGATTTAGCCCAGCTTCACAGCTTGCATTGATTCACCAACTGCATGTCTCCAAGGTTCTGGGCTGTATTTTTGTGCATGCATATAAAAATAAATTAAGAGGTTATTTTAGTTTTAGTTTGTTGTTTTGGTTTTTTTTTAATTTTGAAGAGGCAGCTGCAGATGGGAGGTGCTGTCCAGCTGAAAATACTTGGTTGGTTTCCATAGCACTGAGCTGTGAAACATCCCTGCAGTCAAAGGCACTGGAGCAAGACGTGGTCTCCCAGAGTCCAGGATTTGCTAGAGATCTTGCCACCCTTGGGCTGTGCCAGCAACATATTTGGCTCTTCTAGAAGCCATGAGTGACTGAGAAGGAGAGTGCGGAGGTCTCAGGTCCAGGCCTGCAGGACCAATGCCACAGCTACAGCAGGCTGCTCGGGGCAAGTTGGGGCATTCCCATCTTCCACCGTGACTGCACTTCCTCCTGATGGAGGGACAGCATTATGCTGGTACAGCACCAGCTTCAAAGCAGATGTCACTGAGCAGTGGTGCCAATGTGGTCTGCAATACTGACGGATGAGTTCCTCTTTGAAATAATGCAAAGAAGAGGAACCTTCTGCCCAAATTGTGCAGTCATGTCTGGATCATTGCTCCTGACCTCAGCTGCAGACTGAGTCCTGGCACCAAAGGGCTTAGCGAGTGCCTGGGCGAATGCAGTATTTGCTTGGCTGCTCCATGCTGCAAAATACAGCGTCACAAACTCCAAATGGCTGATGGCATGCCAATAGAAGGCTGGAGGACTCTTGGGTGGGAGGGATGAGGGCACTCTCTGAGCTGCCCAGCAAGCGCCTTGAGCTGCTGCACAGAGATTTCCCTGCGGCCGGAGCCGGTTTTGCCTCTAATCCCAGCTCTGGCTCAGATGTGCCATCTGTGACCTGCTTTGCATGGCAGAGCTGAAGCTCTGAAATCCTGTAGCCTTCTGCTGCTGCTCAGCCCATCGTACTGCACCGCCTCACTATTAGCCACCTTAGGATTTTTGCTCAATTCTCACATTCAGGTGGCATCTTCAAGATCAGCTGGTGATGACACCACTACAGAGCTGCACGCTATGGCCAGTGCCTCTGGGTGCTGTAGACGAAGCAGCCCCACACGGCAGTGAAACAGCCCTTTCCAAGGAGAGGGTGAGAGTGACTGGCTTTCACTTTGGGAAGAAGCCATACAAAGTTTCTCTTCTGGAGGTAAATGAATGGAAACAGGTGAGAAACCCAGCGAGAGCTGTTGGCGAACAGTTTAGCGCTGAGCGAAGAGGATGCAGGGCAGATTGCTCTCGTCTTGGAGGACACGGTGCTGAAACCTGTGAAGAGTGACAAGCCTTGTGATTTTTGTCATTCTGCAGTTTTCATCCCATGGCAGCTGAGAAGCGCTCTCACCAGGTGCTTCAGGCATCATCCCAGTGGGGGGAAAAACCCCAGGTCCTTGTGCTCCATGCTGTGCGCAGGCTGTCACCCTGCTCCCCGGTTGCTCTGACGATACGGGGAAGGGGGTGTAGTGCCAGGGGATGTAATGCCAGCCAGAGCACACAGCTGAGCAGAAAGGCACTGCTTTGCCCCGGCCAAGCCCTGACACCCCTGTGCAGGCCCCGGCTGTGGGAAAATGAGCCCGTTGCCTGCTGCCCTTGCCACCCGACCGCTCAGCCGGTCACGAGGACGCTGCGGCAAACCACAGCTCAGCTTGCAATTATCTTTTCGACACAGGGTTCCTGTCAAGTCGAGCGGCACCTCCTCCCTCACCTGTGCCAGTATGAAAAACATCCTTCCTTTCTCAGCGCTATCAGCTGTTCAGATCTCTCCCCCAGGATGATCACGCACGTCAAGACCTTTAAAGCAAAGCACACCCTGCTACAAGGACCGAGGTCTCGTTTCCCCCGGCAGGTTTTGGGGCATGGAAGTGATGCTCACACCATGCACAGATTTGGCCGTACTCTGCCTTTTTCAGCCCAGTTTGAGGGGGAAAAAGCGGTGATGAGTGAGGTGCTGCTCAGTGCTGGAATATAGGTCAGCCTCTGTCCTGGCAGCTGCTTTCCTTGCCCAGAGCAGAGGAAAAGGGAACGAGCTGGCAGGGGAGGAGGGGCTCCTTCACCACCTTTTCAGTGCACAGAAAATCCCAGCTCAGCACCTTAAAGCTTAGTGAAACACAGCCAGCATTTCGTCAGCAGCCAAATGGTGGTAAGCATGCACATGGCCATTCCGCATCACGGCAGAGATGGAGTCTGGAAAACGCTCCAGTACAAAGACATTTTTGGTCTCAGGCTCTTCACGAATGTAGCAATACCGCAATAGCCATTGGCTCTGCAAAATTATTGCTCTTTATAGGGAGATGCTGGAGCAACTCTGGTCCAAAACTCAGACTATCAGCACTCTGTACCCTGGTCATTTTGGGTTTGCTGCCTCCCTCCACCTGTGCAGTGCAAATCCCACCCTCCTTTTATTTAAAAGGCAGTTTTGGAGACCAGCTTGGGAACATGGACCACAAACATGGTGGGATTGGAGCAAGTATAGATAAAATACTTAACATATCACAGTCCAGCGTTTAAGCTAGACCCCTGGGCTTTGCCAAAGGATTTCTGAGCAGGACATGACAGCTCTGTATTAGGGAGAAAACGGGGGTTTCTGCCCCAAACATGGCTGGAGAGGATTTTTGGCTGTTTTGCCAGATAAAAAACTTGTCACATTTGCATCCCCAGGACCATGTGCTGCAAACAGGAAGGAAAACAGCAAATGAAAGAAACCCATCTGTTCCTTTTCTGCTCTGTGAGGGAGAACTGACCCCCTTTGTGTGACAGATGCTCATGAGGAGGCTACAAGCGATGATTACAGGTCACCTTCCACTCCTGAGGGCCATGTGCTCTGTTTCCTATATGTCCCCACTACGGTGATGGACACAAGTGCCATCCACTGACTCCCTCATTGAGTATCCACCATCCTGATTTGAAGTAGACCAACCTGACACCATCCTGGCAAAGCCACACCAACACGACCAGCATCCCAGGTCTTTTCTGGCATCAGTGACAGCATCTTGAACTGTCCCCCTCCTCCCTCCATACCACCCAGAACCTCACCAGGGACAGGGGAACAAGGCAGCTCACCACAGAGAAGGAAATGCCTCCATAAGAGGACCCAGCTCTGCATTTGCAGAGCTGTAGGATAATTTTCCCACTGTTGGTTGCAACTGGCACATCCAATGTGCCCTGCAGGACTCCAATGGGCTGGGCAGGCTCAGAGCACACGGGCTGATCTCCTTTGTGGAGAAGCCTAGCAGCAGCACTCACCTTGCAGACCTGCTCAGCAACAGCTGGCTGATATCTCTGCACACTGGGAGCACCACAAAGCTCTGAAAGGAGCCATAGAAAAGGCACACTGTTCCATGCACATGTTTTGG